GCTCATCATTAATATTTTTCACCTAATCAAAAATATTTTCTAGCTCATCCCCTCAATTTTCTAATTCATTCCCAACATTTTCCAGCTCATCCCAAGTATTTTCTAGCTCATCCCCATTATTTTTATTATCTCATCAACAATGTTTTCTAGATCATCCCCAGTATTTTCTAGATCATCCCCAGTATTTTCTAGATCATCCCTAATACTTTCTACATCATCCCTTATATTTGTTAGCTCGTCTCCAGTATTTATTTTTTAAAAACTATTCCTCAGTTTTTTCTAGCTCTATCCCCACTATTTTAGCTTATCCCAAATATTTTCTAGCTCAACCGTAGTATTTTCTAGCTTAACCCCATTTTTTTCAAGCTCAACCCTAATATTTTCCAGCTCATTCCCAGTATTTTCTAGCTCGTCCCCAGTATTTTCTAGCTCCATTCCCAGTATTTATCAGTATTTTCTAGATCATTCCCAGTATTTTCTAGTTGACCCCAAAATTTGCCATTATTTTATTACCTATTCCCAATATTTCCAGGAATATCCCAAATATTCCTCAGTAGTTTTTAGCTCACCCCCGGTATTTTCTAGCTCATCTCCAGTATTTTCTAGCTCCATCCCGAGTATTTTCTAGCAGACCCCGTATTTTCTGGCTCATCCCTAATAATTTCTAGTGCAATCCCAATATTATCTAGCTGGTTCCCAGTATTTTTTAGCTTAACCATAATTTTTTTCGATCTCCTCCCCAGTATTTTCTAGCTCACCCCCGGTATTCCTTAGTAACTTCTAGATCTTTCCCAGTATTTTTTTAAAAAAGCAAATCCCCCAAATTTGCCAGTTTTTCTAGCCGATCCCCAATATTTTCTGACTTATCCCAAATATTGTCTAGTATTTTCTAGCGCATCTTCAACATTTTCTCGCTCAACCATGATATTTTCTAGCTCAACCCCACTATTTTTCTAGTTCATCCCCAGTATTTTCCAGCTCTTTCCAAGCGTTTTATAGGTCAATCTTAAAATTTTGTAGCTCATCCCCAGTATTTTCTAGAGCGACCACAGTATTTTCTAGTTCATCACTAATGTCTTTCACCTCATCTCAAATATTTTCTAGCTCATCCCTAATGGTTTTTTTTTAGCGCAATCCCTACATTTCCTAGTTCATCCCCAATATTTTTATTCAAATCCCCAATATTTTCTATCTCATCCCCATTATTCCCCAGACTTTTGTATCTCATTCCCAATAATTTTTCCCATCCACATTTTTTAGCTCATCCCCAGTATTTTCAAGCTCAGTCCTAATATTTTCTAGATCATCCCCACTATTTTCTATCTCATCCCCAGTATTTTCTAGCTCCATCCCTTGTATTTCTCAGTATTTTCTAGATCATTCCCAATATTTTCTAACTAATCTCCAAAACTTGTCAGTATTTTCTTGCCCATCACCAGCGTTTTCTGGCTCATCCCAAATATTCCCCAGTATTTGCCAGCTCATCTCCAAAATTTTCTAGCTCATCCCCAATAGTTTTTAGCTGGACCCTGATATTTTCTAGATCATCCCCAGCATTTTCTAGATCGTCTCCACAATTTTCTAATTCATCCCCAGTATTTTCTAGCCCAACCACAGTATTTTCTAGCTCATCACTAATATTTTTCACCTAATCCCAAATATTTTCTAGCTCGTCCCTTATATTTTTTTAGTTCATTCCGAACATTTTCTAGCCCATCCCCAATTTTCTTTACCACATCCCCAATATTTTCTATCTAGATCAGCTAGAAAATACGAAGAATTATCTAGAAAATACTGAGGATGGAACTAAAAAATACTGGGGTTCAACTAGAAAATACTGGGTTTCAGCTAAAAAAATTTATTACGACTGAGCTAGAAAATGTAAGGAATGAGCTAAAAATTATTAGGGTTAAGATTTTAAAAAACACTGGGTTGAGTAAGAAAATGTAAGGGATGAGCTAGAAAATACTGGACACGAGCCAGAAAGTATTACGGATGAGCTAGAAAATATTAGAGATTAGCCAGAAGATACCTGGGATGAACTAGATAATATTGTTGATGAGATAGAAACATTTTTATTGGGCATGAACTAGAAAATATTGGGGATGTGATTAAAAAAATAATGGGGATGAGCTCGAAAATGTCGGGAATGAACTAGATCTAGAATATAATGGGGATGGAGTTATAAAATATTACGGATTAGCTAGAAAATATTGGGGATGAGATAGAAAAGTCTGGGGAATATTGGGGATAAGCTAGAACGTATTTGGAATACGATACAAAATACTGGGGATGAGCTAGAAAATGTTAGGAATGAGCTAGAAAATATTAGTAGAGATTAGCTAGAAAATATTTATTTGGGATCAGGTGTAAAATATAAGTTGTGAGCTAGAAAATAGTGAGGATGAGCCAAAAAATGGTAAGGTTGAGCTATAAAATACTGGGGGTGAGCTATAAATTACTGGAGTTGAACTAGAAAATGCTGGGGATGATCTAGAAAATATCAGATTTGAGCTAAAAAATACTGGGGGTGAGCTAGAAAATATCAGGCTGGACCTAGAAAATGTTGGAGATGAGCTAGAAAATACTGGGGAATATTTGGGATCAGCCAGAAAATATTGGAGATGGGCAGGAAAATCACTGGCAAATTTTGGGGATCAGCTAGAAAGTACGGACAATGATCTCGAAAACATCGAGGAATACTGTGGATGAGCTAGAAAATACTGGGTGTGCGCTAGAAAATATTAGAGTTGAGCTAGAAAATACTGGGGATGAGATAGAGAAGTGTGGGGAATATTCGGGATAAACTAGACAGTATTAGGAAAGTGATAAGATATACTGTGGATGAGCTAGAAAATATTGTTGATGAGATAAAAAATATTGGGGATGTGATAAAAAGTACTGGGGATGAGCTAGAAAATGTTGGGAATGAACTAGAAAATATTAGAGATGAGCTAGAAAATATTTGGGATGAGGTGAAAAATAGTGATGAGGTAGAAAATACTGAGGTTGAGCTACAAAATAGTGCACAGGACAAATTGCAGCACACTGTTTTGGTAAAAGTTGTACGGCTCTCGCAACTGCTTGATGAGTACAGGACTGTGCAAATGTGTCTGTTGAGCTATGCTGTAGTTTTAGTAAGTTTTACGGCACTTGCAACACAACAAGGCCATATAAGTGCCGAAGATTAGAGGTGTTACAAGAGAGTAACAAACAAATTTAAAAAATGAAAAATAAGGACGATAGATTTCGTTTTAGTAGAGGTTTTACGGTGCTAGCAACTGCATAAGGTCATATGAGCGCCAGAAGATTAGAGGTGTTACAAGAGAGTTTCAAACATAAAAAAAGGAGAAGGGGAGATAAGGACGATAGATACATTGATAGGAAAGAAGACAAGCAAACCACACCAGAGCTCCCGTCAACCACTCACTGACGATAGATGTTAGATAGGAAAAAAGGAGAAAGCCACACTTGAGCACCCGCCAACCACCCACTTAGTTTTTGTAAGAGTTTTACGGCACTGGCAACACAATCAGGTCATATAAGAGCCGAAGATTAGAGGTGTTACAAGAGAGTAACAAACACAAAAAAGAAAGAGGAGAGACCAGGATGATGATAGATGTTTGATAGGAAAGAAGGAGCAGACCACACCAGAGCACCCACCAACCACCCACTTGAGCTAAGCCAGGGTGAAAAGAAAGCAATCCTCACCGTCAGTTTGAACAAGAACTCAGAAACAAAAAGGTCAAGTCCTCTAGTATATTGCGCTAAGGCATTTTTACTCATTTATTTTTCACAATATATAAAACAAATACATGTACATGTACAGAGTTGATTCAAATAATATAATTTAAAATCTGTCACAACTTTTATGGAGAAAAAACCCAGTGAAGTCAGGCAGTCATCAACTACAATGACAATGACAATCTTTACTCATCTCGATGGCAGAAATTTGTCTTGGTCGTGTACAGTGGCAGTAGATGTTACAAAGGTTAGGTGCACTCACGCATACGCACAACAAGACAAGACATTCGTAAATACATGTCTCACGTGCTGGGACAACCCGCTCCGTAAAACATTCTCTCTCTCTCTCTCACCCACTCTCTCTCACTCACTCATTCTCTCTCTCACTCATTCACTTACTCACTCACTCTCTCTCTCACTCCCTCACTGTTTCAATGTCAACATGACAAATAGCCGGAATAGTCCAAAAACTGCGCCACAACTATTTAACAACTTCACAATAAGTCCTTCAGTTTACACAGGTGTGTTCTTCCCAGGCACGTTCTTTCATGGAATAGAGCAATCTGGCTTTTACACCTCTCTCAACCCTGTAAGGTTACTTCAGATTCAGAGTCCAGGCTTCTAACGAAAGTCAACGACAACTTCTGGTAAGACCAAATCAGGTAAACATAGAGTTGTGAAAACTGGTAAAGTGATCCACAGTCAAGAAGAAAGTGTCCCGTTGTGGATTCGAAGAAGGGCCATCAGCGTCATAAACCAGATATATATGTATTTTTCTATGTGCCAACATCTCATAGCAGTGGGGAAAGAAGAAGTTTGGTAGCTGTGACTTCACTGAAAGCAGTACATACATGCATCAACATATCATTATATATACATAAAAAAATCTTCACAAAATGGCAGGCAGTTGAGATGAAATGAGATGACAGTACAGAAGGAGGAGAAGGGGGTTGAAAAGAGAAGGAGAAGGAGGAGGCAGAAAAGAGCAGGAGGAAAGGGACTTGGAGGAGAAAGAAAAATTTCATTTGGAAAAGACAAAAAGTCGTCATATATACATAAGCAAAAATATACGCAACACAAATTTTAAATGCTGGCATAAGCAGGCACTTGAGGTTAGCCGATAGAATACATAGTCTAGTACCAACCCCCCCCCCCCCCCTTTTTGTCACTAGCTCGCAACCTCAGTGCTTTCTTGTCGTATCTCCATTTTTTTAAACAGTGAAAATGTGACTTCTTCTTAAGCTCACTCTCCCACATCTCACTGCTGTTTACACTCGCTGGCTCCCTCGTCCGACGCCTCACAGTACGTCACACTCTTGTATTTCCCCGCCCCCGGCTGGACGCCCGTTCTCTTCGGCCGGCGGCGTCCCGTCTTCGAGTCGTCGACCTTCATCTCCGCTGTGCTCTTCTCCCCGTCTGCCGCGAGCGTGTCCACCGTGCTCGACCACCGCATGCCCTTGACCCGGTCGGCCGACCCTTGACCCCCACCGGACAGAACGTGAGCGATCATCGACAGCGGGTCGTTCTCTTTCTTCAGGCTCGACGTCGGGTGTTGTTTGGTCGGGGGGTGAGACTTCTCCTCCGTTCTGACCGTGTTGTCGACGTTGGCTGGAGTCTTCTCCGACAGAGGGAGAGCTCGCTGCAGCTTGTTTCCCACATCTCCTGGTGACATTGGGCTCACTTGGTCTGGAAGGGAAAATTTACGACACAACTTTTTACTGGAATCTGTATGTGACGCTAAGTGAATGGAAGGGTGGAAGGTGGGTGCTCTGTTGTGGTCTGCTCCTTTTTTCCCTTTTATATATATTGAATGTTTACTGTCCTTATTGACACATGAACGATGATATGGTGCTGAGGAAAAGGAACATAAAAGACAGGGAAATATCACCCAGACCATAGGCATCGGTGGCCTAACGGCTACCAGATTCATAATCGTGAGGTTGTGGGTTCAGGGGTTCGTTGCGTCCTTGGGAAAGGCACTTTACACGAATTTTCCTCACTTCACCCAGGTGGGAATGGGTACCCGGCCATAGACAGCGAAAGATCTTGTCAGTATGTCTGTGTTTCAGCACCTATAAATGGTAGCTTGAATAGTATGCTTTCCAGAGAGTTGAGTTTGTTTCAGAATGCTCTCAGGTCTGCTGGGGTAATAGTATAGATTGTGAAGCGCATAGAGCTTGCTGTTGAGCGGGGGTTTGCGCTATACAAATGCTATGTAGTATTATTATTATTATTGTTATTCCCCCAAGCACACCCCCAGCCCTGCCACCTGACCCCTCCCTCACACACACCTGGCTCATACTTGCGCTGCAATGAGCGTATCTCTGCCTCCAGCGTGGAGGTGACACACCGTAGCCGGTTCCTCTCTTGCTGCAGAGCCGAGGCCTCGTGGCGCGCTTGTGTCAGGAGCAGATCCGTGTGTAGTTTCTCCATGTGTTCTCGGCTGGCCGTGCTCTGTAGCTCTTTCATCTCCCTGCTGCAACACAGACACAGAAGAGAGGAGTGGAGAGAGATCAGAACACAGGCACAGAACACAGGCACAGAACACAGGCACACAAGAGAGGAGCGGAGTGAGATCAGAACACAGGCACAGAACACAGGCACAGAACACAGGCACTGAAGGGGTTAAAGTCTGCCTATAAGTCTGCTTCTGGATCAATAATAACAACAACAACTGGATCGATAATATTAATCTGCTTTTAGTTTTAGTAAGTGATTTACGGCACTTGCAACACAATAAGGTCATACAAGTGTTGAAGATTAGAGGTGCTACAAGAGAGTAACAAACACCAAAAAAAGGAGGAGAGATAAGGACGATAGATGTTTGATAGGAAAGAAGGAGCAAACCACACCAGAGAGCACCCGCCAACCACCCACCCACAAAAATGTAGCAGTATGTAGCACACAGTGGAGTACTCATGATGTACGTACTCTTTGTCGGAGATGACCACTTGCAGGTAGTTGATGAAGAATTTGTCCTCATCTGTACAGCTCCCCAATGAAGGACAACTGGGCTCTGGAACGTGCTGAAAAAACAGAACAAAAAAATGTTTCAATGGGATTACAGTTTTAGTAAGAGTTTGTTTGTTTGTTTGTTTAGTATAGGGTTTTACAGCGCTCGCAACTGCATAAGGTCATATGAGCGCGCGGGACACACCTAATACTTTTTCGTTGGTAGGAAATTTTGAATTTTGCCCAGATGGCGGCAGAAGCCTACTCTTATCGATTTTAGACCACCAAGGGATCTTTAACGTGCGCAACTTGCACACGGGCCCTCCGAGATTTTTCGCCCTTGTCCGAGAAGGCTAGGTGTAGATCTTTCCTACCAGAAGATCAGGGGTGTGGCAGAAAGACAGCAGATAGGAGGAGCCAAGGAGTAGCAGTAGAAAGGCTGCAGAAAGAGTCAGGAGACCAGAGGAGGGGGCAAAGGAGGTGAGGGGGTGGGGGGCAGAAAGTGGAAATGAAAGCAGACAACAGAACATTGTTAGAGATCAGGAAAGGATGTGAAAGGAGACAATTTTAGAGAAGAACATTTTTTGGTCGCTACCCGGAATCGAACCCGGGACCTTTGAATGAGAGGCCAACACCTTAACCTCTAGGCCACGAGAGCCCCTAGTAAGAGTTTTACGGCACTTGCAACACAATATGGTCATATATAAATGCCAAAGATTAGAGGTGTTACAAGAGAGTAACATACACAAAAAAAGGAGGAGACATAAGGCCAATAGATGTTTGATAGGAAAGAAGGAGCAAATCACACCAGAGAACCCGCCAACCACCCACACAATAGAAATTATCTGTTTTAATTGAAGCGAACTACACAGTTTGTATGCGACATCGGACTAACTGTCTAGCTGCTGTCATCGAGAACGAGGAAGAAAAAGGAAGAAAGAATCTGTTTTATCATCAGTATCATAAATGACAGAAAGAGGTTGACCTTTGGGCGGGAGGAAGAAGTTTTCTCGTTCAGTTTCTCAGAGAGTTCAATGACGGCCTTCTTGCTCTTCATCAGCTGACTCTGGAGATCTTTCACCACGCCGTGATCGAAGCCCGCGCTCGCTTGCCGCGCTAACATCATCTCTTTCTGAACCGTTGAGAAAACACAAAGTACATGAATATATATATGATATATATATATACACACACACACTGAAAAAAGACTACATGAATATATATATATAATACACATGTGTGAGTCATCGTGGTGAAATCAGACACTTGTAAAATTGATGAAACCAATGAAACTGAAAATTTCCCGCCTATTGGGAAATTTTTATAGACCTTTTTATCGGGCGGCTGTTACAGCGGGTTTCACTGAAGTTTCTATGATATAAAAATACAAAGTTTAGCGACCATAGATTTGGTTCAGTTTTCTTTAAAGTTTTAGTAACAGTATTATGCCACTCGCAACATCACCACTGTGTCATATAAGAGCCAAAGATTAGGAGTGTTATTAGAAAGTAGCATACTAAAAAAAAAAGGGGGGGGGAAACAATATTTGATGTGAAAAAAAAAAGGAACAAACCACACCGGAGCACCTGCCAACCACCCACTTCTAGACCTAAGACAAAGGAGGGGCTTCCATAACAGGTAAATGATCCCAACCGAGAGAGCTAAAAAGAGAGCACGAACAGATAATGACGGACTGATCAAAATTCCCAAATAGCCCCCAAACCTTCAGTCTCTTGTTCTCTTTCTCCGACTTGATCAACTTCTCCTCCGTCTTAGACAGCAGCGTCTCCGTCTGGACCGTTTTTCTCTCCGCCATCACACGCCGGTCTTCCACCTGGGAATATGACAAACAAAACAAATTTGCTCTTAGTCAACTCTTCGCTTTTAAGGTTTTAGAAAGCACTAATTTATGTTTTCTTTTCTGTCCCCCCAACATCCCCCCCTCTAACCATCCACAACACCGTCCCCCAAACCACCTCTCTTCTCCGAGAAGATAAAACTGACCTCAGCAAAAAGAGAGTTCCCCTTCCTGTCCGTGTCCACTTGTCCGGCCTCCGACTCGATCTGAACTCTCAACTCTTGCAGCTGTTCACGGAGACGCTGGGGAAGTAGAATAATAATAATAATAATAATAATAATAAAAATAATAATAATAACTATAAATAGCATAATTTGTATGGCGCATGTCCCCACTCAAAAGCAAGCTCTATCCGTTTTACACTATGTTATTACCCCAGCAGACCATAGAACACTCAGATACATTCTCAGCTTTCCGGGAAGCATACAGAGCAAGCAGCTGGTTAAGCGCTCAAACACTAACAAACTGATAAGATCTTTCACAGTCTATAGCTGGGTACCCATTTTCACTTGGGCGAAGTGAGGAAAATTTGCGTAAACTGCCTTTCCCAAGGACACAACGTCGGGCCCGCGGCTCGAACCCCTGAACCCGCAACCTCACGATTATGAGTCCGGTAGCCTAACCACTAGACCACCGACGCCACCAATAATCAGACAATAATCATCATGAACCTTATGGTACTAAATACATGGTAGGAATAGGCTAAAACAGCACCTGGACATGGATGGCTGGTGCCTCTATAAATAAATCATTGATGGTCTGGTCTGACATGGTAGGAAACAAACTCAAACTTACTGAACATAACCCTAAGACAACATTCACGCACTTAGACTTAGACAGTTGCATGCCCCTACTAATGTACACGCGGGCGATGTGAGTCCTCCACTGCCAGGAACTGCCCAGATCAAAATATATTTTCTTTTTCTACACAAAACACAGTAACTCCCAACATAAAACAGAGGAATGCACTTTTTAACAAATGCCATTGTGTCATGACTGCAATTGATAACACCTTTAACTGACCAATTCGTGAAGTCATGGTCATCTTCATAGGTGAAGGACGAACAACAACAATTGACTTGTTACCAACCCTCTATAAACCTTTCATATTCGGCTACAAATCTTGCTTCACTAGAACAATCTTTTCCTGAGACATATTTGTAGCTTGAAGTTGTTGTACTCAACTATACAACAGCCATGGTTGGCATTTATAAATTCAACAATGAACTTTAATTTTCCACAAACTAGAGGTAGCAGCCAGCCAGAATCCATTAACAAATAAGTTATTAAATCATTTTTGTTAGTGTGGGTCTACTGGTACCAACAGACGTATCCTAACCCACGGGCCAGAGAGTTGTCAAGGAGACAACCAGATCTCTCATGGGTCAATGATGACAACTTATCTAAGTCTAAGACATGACTATTTTACCCTTGTAGTTAGTTCTGCTTTGCAAAAAGACATTTTCTTCCTTGAGGACTGGCTTGAAATGTTCAAAACCTATGATTTTACGGTGCATTACTAAATCAAAAACATTTGTGAACAATTATCAGTCATATAAAATACAATATCCAGGGTTGAAACAAAACAGTAGGTCGTGTGTAACGCTAAAAAATAACAACTACCTCGGTGATGTTGCACTGGGACACAAACTGGGCCTCACAACACTCCAGCTCCTCTTCCTTTTCTCTCAGCTCGTACTGAAGTTGAGAATTTTCCGACATTTTCTTCTCCAGTTCTTGCGCTGCCTCCAACAATCTGCTCTGCAAAGATTCCTGAAAAAAAAATTTCAGTTCACAAAGGTTGTTCATGAAAGTGAAACCACTCATTAACTCTATCCGTAGGCCCTGGGGTCATTTTGTACCCCCCGGGTTGTATTCTTCACATTTTAGAATACTTCTAGTATGAAGAACTCTTTGAAACTTTCAGTATTTCTCAAATAAAACATTTTGACAGACTGCTATGCAAAGCGTACGGATCGAATTAATGAGTAAATTTCCTCTTTGAAAAGTGGTGGCACTGAGTTCCCCACGTCGTATGGATACGACAGTAAAACACGACATACGGAGAGGGTTAACAAAAATATCCATAGCAGCCAGCAGCAACACTCGCACTCTTTTGCAGTGGTGAGCCATAAGGAGAAGGCAGTTGTCCTCTTATCGT